TGGATGGATCGGTCGATGTAATAATTATATTATTTTTGTGGTTCAGTTCGATTTGAAATATTTGCCAAAAAAACTTAGTTATGTGAAATTTTACTTATTTTTAAATTAAATTGGATTCGAATTATTTGCAAATACTTTGAATATTTTTTATTCACCGAAACTTTTGGTTTAAATACGACTCAGAATTTCACGAATTTATTTGGTTCAGTTTGAATATCAAATATCGAAATATTTGCAAATAACCGAATCATTTTCACCCCACAAGCCAAAAACTCAAGAGACAAGAAAATGTCGAAACTGTCGAGCCAAACCAAAGTCTTGATGAACTGACGGAACCAACGATGTCGCCCAAGCTCATTCCCACAGCCGAAACCCAAATTGAAGAGACAAAAGCATTAATTGAAAACCAATGAAACCTTTACCTGATGGTGGTGGGCTTATGACTGTGAAGTCATGAGTTCAAACCCCAGACGCTCCAGATCAACTGTCACATATGATTTACCTAGTGTGACTTGTCTGTTGAACCTAATTTGTAGGTTATTAGTTTCGATCGGAGGTTTACCCAATGCACACCCTTGGATAGTGCGGATTCTCACGTCATTAAAAAAATAGAAAAAGAAAAAGAGACAACCAAATGAGTATATGTCTAGAATAAAAATGAATAAAGATGATTTTATCAAGATGTTCAAAACAAGATTAGTGACAAAATGGTACTTATAGGTGCATGGAATGGATTGTGAGATTTTGTACATATCAATAAGAGAGCATACAACAAGCTAAGTGCATGTTAATATAATGTTTTCTTTCATGGTATCTTAGAATTAAGAAGACTTACATCTTAATATTAATCAAGCCATGACAAGTATATATATATATGCAAGCCAAAGATTAAGCCTCTCTATGGCTTTAAACATGTGTGGCAAGCACATTGAAATTGCTTGTTATTTAGTTCGACAATCACTTTTTAAGTAATTTTATTTCTTTGAAGAGTAAGCTCCAAATAGCGGATATCTTTATCAACATCTTACCCGAACCGTCATTCAATAATTTGCAAGCTAGGTTGTGTATGAACATGTTACGAACGTGTCAACGATGAAGGTTACATAGAATATAAAAAATGATGATTACGGTGAAATTTATTGAAGTTGGCTAATCAGTAGGATTAATTTGTTCGTTTAAGACACATGTTGTATTTTAAGTTTTTTATTTACTTAATTTTGTTAAGCAATTAGGTTCAGTCGAGAATTTACTCAAAATACACTCAAAGAGCAGAGACCGTAAGTTCTCACTGTTGTAGAAAAAAAAATGTTCGAATGTAGATTGAGTAAGGTAGCAATATTTTAAACGAAAATTATTTTAAAAATAAATTAAACTTTATTATATAGCCTCAATTAATGAATTCAAAGTCCCGAGTGATACAAAATACGACACACACACGTGTATGTATATATATAATTCAACTTAAATATAATTTAATTTAATAATAGATGAAGTGTGAAAGTGATGGTGGGGTTTCTTATAAAGTAAGGCTGCAGTTGCAATGGATTAGATTTTTTTTTTTTTTTTTTTATTTTATGGATTAGGTTTAGGTGTAGACTCGTAACAATAATCCATTAAATATAAATTAATATTCAAAGTATGTAGAGCATAATATAATAGTACTATTATTACTTTTCTTGCAAGAAATTCCACACTAGAGCCGAAAAATCGGTCTGACTTGGAATTTTATTGCTTCAATCGATTTGAATTATTGATCACTTTGATCAATATTCTACCTAACAAACAATATGTGTATAATATAGATATGCTTGAATTATATAAATCCGTGACATACACCAATATTAGATAATATATTAATTTTTTAAATTTTACAAGTCAAATTATTCAAAATTTACCTGTGGTTTGGAATTTTGTGTAATTTTACCATTTGATTTAAAAATTACTTGACACTCTCTCATGTTTTCCAAAATATTGTATCAAACTCTCAACGGTCTACATTTAACAGAGTGTACATAATAGACCAATAATATTGTATAAATAAAGTGTGTCAACTTTAGAATTCACATTATTGGCGTATGTCACGTAGGTTCTGTTAAGTGTAGAGACGACAGATGGAATTTGATGCAATATATTGGAAAACTGGGATATCACACAATTTTTAAACCACATAGAAGAATTACACAAAATTTTTAAACTACGCATGAGTTACGTATAATTTCACCTATTTTATATATCAATATACATTCAAAAAAGTATATGATCGATATAATTGTTTATGTTGGTAAATATATATTGAAAATAATAATTTTTCTATTGTTGAACATCTAAAGTATATTATATTATTATTATTATTATTATTATTATTATTATTGAGAGATTGGTAAAAATAAAAATTTTAATTGCAATTACTATAATTTCTAATATATTTAATTTTAATTGTGTCTAAATGCTCCTTCTGATTGAATGTAATATTTTATTTTTTTGATAAATTAAAAATAAGAATATTTTATTAATTAATTGAAATGTATAATAGTTTTGATATTTTTTTCTTCGTCGGTACAAAAAAATATATATATTTTGTAAAATTAATAATATTTGAGTATTTGTATATTGATTACTTTAACCGTGATAAGAAAAATAAATACTTTTAAGTAAGATAAATGAAAATAATAAAAATGATTTATTGAGTTGACACGAAGTGAGTATACATATATATATATATAAGTGTGGACTTTAATAACATTGGGGGATTGGATTTTAAACATCAAATCAAACACTTATATTTTATTTTTTATAATATACTAAAAATTAATTTTATATTCAAAACATCACATCAACACCTATTTATATCACATTATACAACTATTCAAATTCAAAATTTTTACTATTTAAATCCCAACTCAAAATCCGAACCCCCAAACAAACTAAGCGTTGATGAAAATTTTATGTTTGGATTGAGCTTTTATTAATTAGCATCGAACATTATATTAAAAGTCAGCATGTATTTATTAGGCCAGCAACAATATAATTAATGATATAATTGGTCCATCTGAATATACATCTAATCTAACCTTAAAAGCCTAAAGACGACTTTATTGTGGCACAATAGTTTTACTATAGTCTCTTTGGATTTTTATTTTTTTATTTTTTATAAGCTATTATTATGTAAGCCTTACAACTTCTTATAAAAATATTTTATTTTTAATTTAGAAAATATTAGGTCCAACTATTATTTAATTATACATAAAATATAAACGCAAAACAAACACACTATATTTTGTAATATGATTGAGAAGCAAATTGCAATTTGATGTTTATACTTTTGTCTGTCTAATTCCTCTTCATATAGAAGAATTTTCTCGCAACTAATTTTATATTATTAAAAAGAAACGAAGTATTTCATTAATATTCAAAAAAGAAAAAAAATCTCAAAAAATAATATGATGTGTTTAGTTATGATTTCATCACATTAACATCGAAAAAATACTTAGAGAAAATTTTGATGTCAATCAGTTGGATTCAAAATTTCTGAAACTATTCTAAAGAGTTTCGAATCTTTCGAAGCAAAAGAAAAAAGACTTGAAATTTCCGAAGTTATGTCGGAATTTGTGCAAAGGCAGATCAAGTGGGTATAGAACCCAAATTGTTTCAAAATGTTTTAGACAAATTTTCTTTGTGAATACACATTTATTCTAATATTTTATATATTTAGGGTTTGTATGGTTTCCCCTCCAAATCAAAATTAACAATTTTTTTATTAAATAAAAATATATTCTTTTCGTCTCAAAAGTTTTTATTTGAATTTTTGTAATAATTAAAAAATAATATTTATTTTATTGGTTAACGAATGTGTACAAGATAATTTTTATAATTTTGTCATTTGTATTATATATATATGTAATGATATATTTATAATTTATATAAAAATTAACGATATTTTGAATTAGTATATAGTTATTTTAACTGTAATAAAAAAGTAAATATTTTTTTTTAGTGAAATATACAAAAATAATAATAATAATAAAGTATTTTCAATTTAGTCAAGAGAAAATATTAGTACTTCTTAATTTTACATAAGATAACATTAAAATACTATTTAAACTAACACTCAAATTTAAATTCAAATTAAAACGAAAGACACTCTTATAAACTCCTCTAATTTAGAGTGGCTTTATGGGTAACAAATTGTATGTGTATTCTTCTTTTCTTTTAATTTATTATTATGTTTTTAAATGCCGCACAATATATGTATATATATTATAAAAAAACATTACTATATCAAATATTTATTTTTTACTTTAGAAACATGACAATAAATATATGTCGAATAAAGCAAAATTATAAATATAAACAGCATGCCTTAAGAATTTTTTTTTTTTTAAAAAAAAAACATTTAATTGTATTTTAGGATAATTGACAACCATCTTTCAAGTCACCTATATATATTTGTCAACAGACCTTTATTATTCTGAGGAACGATCTAGGCATTTTCTACTCTGTTCGAATTTACGACTTTGCCCTCTTAATTTTACAAGGTTTATTATTATTATTATTATACATTGGTTTTGATATTTACTCTGTTCGAATTTACGACTTTGCCCTCTTAATTTTACAAGGTTTATTATTATTATTATTATTATTATTATTATTATTATTATTATTATTATTATATATTGGTTTTGATATTTGTTATTCAATTTAAATACTATAAAATAATAATTTAATATACTCCTATATTATATGTATATAAAATTAATTTAACTATATTAAGAACAATAGAAATGCATAATAAAAATAACAAGTATTTCTACAAGTATTATTTAAAAACTTTCAATGTCACTGGTTCTTGTTTCCACACATACTTTATTAAAAATAATATTTCTATTAATTTTGAATTTTATTAAACAATTATCGCAGTTTATATAACAATAAATTATTTTTTTTTCCCAATATACCAATTCAATAACTCAAAAACTAAACTAAATCCAACTAAACACGTATAAACCCAAATATCTTTCTTGTATTGCTATAACTAATTTGGTGATAGATTACAAGAGACAGCAGCAGTCTGGAATGTGCAAAATTCAGTACAATGTTGGGGCAAATTTGCAAATTAATCAAATCATATCGCTGTGTGGTCCCTTGGAGCCAACAATTCAGCAGCGCCACCCAATTTGCCCAAAGAATGCGATCTATTTACACAATAGTCCCTAATCAATCTTTTCCTCCATCACAAATTCACTCCCCCTAAAATGAATCAATATTTCTCATTCACTGCCTAAAACCCAGCCCACCTACCTGGGTCGGGTACCGATTCCCATACGGGTTCGTAAAACCCGGGTCGAATCCACCCATGTTTTGCGAGAAGTATCCGGATCCATCCAGCTGTTGCTGGGCCCGGATCCCGCTCTGGACTTCTTCGTCCGCCGCCATTTTGCCGCCAAACCGGTGCAGATTAGCGGCGGCGGCGTACATGTCGTTCTGAGCGTTGAAATTAAGGTTTAGCTGTGCCGGGTCGGGGTTGGGCTGGTTTCCGGGTTCGGGTAGCGGGTTGAGCCCCGCTAGCGTGGCCCAGTCGAAGTTCCCGGAGCCCAACTGCTGAAGATTCTTGATGGAATTCAACCTCGGGAGAGAGAAGAAACGGTCGTCGATCTCCGGCAAGGATTCTAATACGTCGTCGTATTGGGATGACGAGGAAGACGACGACCCCAGGCTGTATTCTTTTGCCGGCACGCCGGAAATGGCTGCCGCCGGCAGCTTCTGCGCGCTGGAGTTCTTTTTGTAAATCCGGCAAAGCACCCAATCATCCAGCTGAATTAATTAATTAATTAGAACACAGAATTGTAAGTAAATAAATATATAAATTGAATTGTTGTTGTATACATTTTAAAAGAATTACTGACCCTGGAGCTGCCATGCTTTCTTGGGGAATCAGAGAGTCTGTATTCGTGCATAATCCAGTTGGTTTTGGTCCCTTTAGGAGCCTTTCCAATGTAGAAAACGAGGGCCTTCTTGATCCCAACTTTCCTTCCCTCATTGGTGATGATCTTATCAGTCCCCGTGGCCTTCCAATAACCCGACCCGGCTACTCTGTTGGGTCTCGACCCGTTCGGGTACTTCCTGTCCCTCGGGCTGAAAAAGTACCATTCTTTCTCTCCAAATATAGCCTTGCCTAATTTCAAAATAAAAAATCTAATTAATTATGAACAATTGAAGACGACGACATAAACATATATATATATATATATACTTACTGGGAAGATCCCATGGATCAAACTTGTAGAGATCGATATCCCCAATAATCGGCAAAGCGAAATGGTGGCCGGCGACCTTCCGGCAGAGATACTGCAGAAGAAGCTCCTCGTCCGTCGGGAAGAACCGAAACCCCGGCGGCAAGCTCAGCTGCGAAAGCGGGTCGGTTTCTCGAACGCCCATTTCCTAATTAATTAATTAATTAATTATTTCTGAATATTTTTTTATTTGATTGATTGAGGAAACGGCAGCTCAATTTCCCAAACCTATTTTTCCTTCTTTTTTCTTCGGAAAACAGGAGCCAATACGATTATTTATAGAGAAGAAATTAATGGGGAGTGAATTTCAAAGGCAGGGGTTAAGGTTGGATAAGTACGGTCGTCCTTTTCTTGGAGGGCCCGGGGAATCGCCGTTGGTAGGTCGACACGTAAGAGGTTAGGCAAAGCCATCGAAGAAGGAAGACGAACCTTATCCGACGGTAATAACAGAGAGAGGGTGGCCAGATGCATGAACCTGGCTGACTGACTGACTGACTGACAAAAGTTTTTATTATTTACGATAAATAATTTTAGAAACTGTAACGTACGCTGCATGTGCCGTTCGCCACGTGGACACCATTCTAGAATGTCTTTTGTTGTGTGACGTCATACTGTTCGTCACTCCCCCGTTGCAGTAGAAGATACAGGTGAATATGCTGTTATGCTTAGCTAGCTACTCCGGGAGCTCCCTTGGGTTTTATTCCTCTGGACTCCCACTCCCACGCCACATTGCTTAGCTGTTGTATTGCTAATTTTATCATTTTATTATTGTTATTATTATTATTATGATTAACACCACTACGTACGTATCCAGTTTTTATTAGAAATTAAACTCGTCACTATTTAGTCCACACATTTCAATAAAATATATACTGCATCATCCAGTTCTAAAGATCAATGTATTTTTTATATATTGATTTTTTTAATATTAATTATTATATAAAAATGTAATATAAATAAAAAAAAATTATAAAAAATACTTATATTAGTGTCTCATGATACTATTATAATAATATTTATGCAAAAAAAATTATATAAATATAAAAATATTTTTAATATTAAGTATAATAATATAAAAATATTAATGAAATTGTTAGAGTCGGACAGAGAAAATATTTTCTTTAGCGAAATATTAAGTTAAAATATATGTAAACTAAATTTCAAATCAAAACTCTAATCTAAAACAAAACATATGATCTCTTAATTTATAATTAATTCCATCTCCATCCTATTCATCCCATTTGAATAGATAAAAAGGGGTATTAAATATGAGTTCTTTTCCATAAAAATAGAAAGATTAAATACTAATATACGACATCCGTCTCTTAACAATTTATCCATTTTTCCATTTTGATCCGTAACAAAGTATTCATTTTGTTTACAATATATTACACAAATGTCGTTATCTTTATATCATACAATACTAATATGATTAATTTAGTCATTGTACCTTTATTTCTATTTTATCCTGATATTTTTAAAACTCTTTGCAATAAGCAAATGAATATATAAAAATGGGATGGAGGGATTATTATTTAACAAAAAAAAAAAAAAAAAACATAACCAAACAAATTCATAATTTCTTTATAACATGCATTAAATAATAATAATAATAATAATAATAATAATAATAATAAGATTGATTTCTTTTGTCTTTTCTCTGTTATTGAAAAGCAGGCATCTAAGTGCCAAACGCGTGTAGGAATATTATTCATCGTACCTTTTAAGTTCTATCGCAATTGCATCAAATAGCACTCAACCTAAAGATTTTAAATTAATTTAACTAATTTTTATATGATCTTTAAGGCTGTTTCGATGTAGTACTTTGGGTGTTTCAGGAAGGATTGCCTTGGATTTAATTATTTTAATAAAAATAGACTTAATATCTAATATGAAAAACCTATTATAAACTATGACTATATAATTATAAAAAAAATTGAAATTAGAAAAAACAAAACAAACACTAAAATTTTTTTCAGGCCGAGCCTACGTAATTCAAAATTTCTCAAAACCAATTTTTTGGTGAATAAAAATGCGTTAGGTCAAAATGTAAATTGATTGAAGTTTTCACAATGGGCTTAGGTCAAGTGAACCCCTAGCCCTAAGCCCCAATTTTTTTTTTTTAGTATAAAATATTTTATTTTTTATACAATTTATATAAATTCACCTATAATTTTCAAGGGATTTTTTATGTTTTAAGTATAAAATTTTATTTTATTTCCATATTCCTATAAATTTTGTACTTTTTTATTTTTTAAGAAAGTAAATTGTCGTATCAAATAGAAAAAAACGACAGCTTGAAAATTTTAAAATTAAAATCAAACTATAAAAAATCGATTGATTAAATAGTCTCGCCCCCGATGTTCAGAGGCTCATTCTGTCACTGCTCGTGACCGTGAGATCATGTGTTCAAATATCTATTCTTTTATAGTCTTATTTGTCATACATAGTTCGCCTAATGTAACTTATTTTTTCGAGCTTAGTTTACAGGTTATTAAATTCAACTGAAAGTTTTACCTAAAACGCACTCGTCGAGTAACGGTAGACACACGTTATAAAAAAATAAATAGATAAATAAATAAATAAAATATTAATGTTCTCTTCTACAAAGATGTATTAAAACACTCTAGTGCTAATCACTCCCTGTCATCTACTCTCTTATTTTCTACCATATGGAAGAAGCATACACATTCCTAATGTCATTATAAAAAATAAAAAAAAAAAAAAAACCAGTGAACCAATGAAAATGCATGAAGAAAATGAACACAATAAGATATCTCATAGATAGATTTAGAGTTTGTTTCTTTTGCCTTTGAAACCCCAAATTTTTATCATTTAAACTCTGTATTTTTTTTAAAAAAAAAATTATATTTTTTCCTCTCATAGGTCAAGAACTTAATTTATTAATATTACTACAAGACAATCATATTTGTAAATTAACTACAAAATTGAAAAGATCAAAATTAAATCAATTTTCTAAATTCAAACTTGTATGTATATTTAAACTTTAACTCAATCCATTTAACACGCAAGATTACTGATCGAACGTACAGGTCAGATAAATATTCCACGCAGCCGTAACGGTACAAAAAGGAGATTATTACAGACCAGCAAAACACAAAAACATTTAACACGTGTGGATATAAAGGGAGGACACGTGGGCGGAGGACACGTGCAATTCGGAAACCTGGACACAGCAGAAGGGAGGAGGCATCTGAGATTCAGAGAATGTGGGATGGCACAATTTCCAGTCGACACGTAACCCCTAATTAATTTATCCTTTTTTATTATTAATTAATTAAATTTTTATTTATTTATTTTTTTGTGGGTTTCTTTCACTCCACAATCTCTGAATTCTGCCCTCACTGTTCTGACCCAATATGCATCATCATTTATATTTACTTTTTTTTTTTTTTTGGTCCACGTGGTAGTTGGCAAATTAGATGAGATGATGATGGGTGGGCAAAAAGAACAAAAAGCTGTAGTATTTAACTAAATTAAAATTTTTTTTTAAAAAAAAAGCATCTGCGATGAAGATAAGGTAGCTTTTGAATGCTTTTTTGGTCAAAGGGTGTGACGTGGACAGAGGCGAAATTTTTGTGAGATAACGCTCTGTTATTAAATTAATTAATTACTAATTAACTATAGAGATTCTTGGAACTCCATTATTTAATTATCTCGAAATATTAACACTAAAATTTAATAATATGAATTATATTGTTTTGTAATAAGTTTCCTCTTTGGTTCCAATATGGCCACTTGTTTTTTGTATTTTTAGTGACGTGGACAGTTGGTTCAATAAAAAAAACGATGATTTGGAGAGATTTAGGAAAGAAGGGATATTCCAAAATCCATATTTTAATTTTTTCACATTTTTAATAATTAAAGCACACGCACGCACACCCGAACGCCGTTAAAGTCATCGTTGTTAGGTTCAATAATGCATGCCATTAATTACAAGATTTGATTTTATTATTATTATTATTATTATTTATTATGAGAAATGGAGAACGTGTTGTGGCGTTTCCTGATTGGGTGAGGAGGTCCAGCCTATTTTGTTACTATTATTTATTTACTTTGACTTCACGCTATTATTTATGTATGTGTAATATGCACAAAGGCACACTCTTTCTGATTCTGCCTCACATATTTTCCATGGAAATAAACCACGTGCAGGTTTTGAAAAATAGTATTCTTGTGATATTTTTAAGATTAAAATTCAACATTATTAAGAAATGGGAAATTTTCAAATCATCAAGTAAGAAATATAGCTAAATTAATTTCGATTATACTAATATTGTAGGAGTAGTAGGTTTGATGTACTTTATTTCCGTACAAGCTCTCCGTGATTGAATGATGTCAAATATTCAATACTGGATTTCAGGTCCATTCATTAATTATTTTAAGTACTTTTGGTATGCGTGTTTTAATTTTTTATTTTTTTTTTATTGTGAATTATGGACAATAGTATAAATAATATAAAAATAAAAAATATACTTAATATATTAATTTTTTTGAAAGAACAAAACCGTTTCTAAATTATCTTTTGATGAGTTTTTTTTATAAGAAATATAGTATATTGCTGCCACTTGATGTAATATAGTCCAATATAAATGTGCTAAATGAATGCGAATACACGATATACACATGTGTATATAATTAAATTTGTCATTTTTTAAAATTTTTTCATATACAAGAATATGCATTTATATCAATTATATCGGGTTTAATTTGAGTTGGGTACAAAAGATGATCGTATCCAACGAATGAAGGCAGTCAACAACGCGTAGTGCCCACAAATCAGATTACGAAATTTTCAAATAAGACAACATATGTTTATCATGTTTTGCATTAGAACAAGTTCCATATTTCAATATATGGATTTTATTAAACTTATTACAAGAATTTGGTATTCGATTAAGAACATGTGAAGAACATGGAGTGATAAAACAGCCACATCTTTCCAACTTTTACGAATATAAATGCAACATTGTTATCTATCTATCTATTACATTGTGTAAGCCAATGCAACAAGTTTTTATATAAAGAGTACAGATCAATCTCAGCTTTTTCGAAAATATGGTCTGATGTTATTATAAATAAATAAATATATATATATATATTGAATTTTAAGTTTATAATGAAAATTTTTAAATATTAGTCAGTAAAATAATTTGAAAAAAAAAAAGTAAAAATTAAAAAAATGAACAATCCCAAAATCTCCTAAAATTATATAAGTAGTATATATGTACTATCTTGTGATGCATAATAATTAATATTAGTATTAATGCTGTTAAATCCGTATTTTATTTGTATTACATATATTTTCAAAACAGTATATAAAGATCAAAAACTGTAGTTAAAATTTAAAATTCTAATTGGAGATCAAAATAAAGTAAGTTCTAAAAAATCACACCATCTTATTTAAAATTTTATATGTATTTATTTATTTTTTAATGGCCCTCCACTTAAGATGGGCCCAGTTGCCCTTTTTATATGACTGGGCGTGCAACTCACTCTACATTGGTTCGGGCTTTCCTTTGGGCCTTCTTTTACGGATATCTTGGATAGCCAAAATTGCAAGTCTTAGTGTGGGCTGTCATGATCATACATAACAGACCGGTGGTTATATGCACGTGGCGGTTGTCTCTCTCACCTTTAATTAAAAAACATCCAAAAAACTGATAACTAAGCACACACATACATCTTAACAGCTGAATGAATAAATAAATTAAATTAAAGATAGTAAGTAAGTAAGTAGGTAGGTAATAGAGAATCAATTAAAGTATGGTCGATGGTTAGCGTTGCAGGAGAAGTAATGTTGGCTGCGGCGGGGCTGTGGGCAGTTTCTCTGAGGCCAAAGCTCCTTCTTTGTATGGCCAAAATGCTCCATTTCATAGCCACTCTCTGCAGCTCTCGCCAGGTTATTACCGCAGCCAATTCTCTTCCTTAAATATTATATATATATATATATCGCTACTAGAAATATATAGAATTGTCTCGGAACAATTGTATCAAAATTGTGATATATTTCGGGTTTGTATGTTTGTCCCCTTGATTACTAAGATGTTGTATTTCAGTTTAATCTTGTTTGTAATTTGAATTTAGTTTGAGACAAGCACCTGCAGCTTCTGTTCTCTTTTTTTGTTTTAGTTTTTTTTTTTTTTTAATTATTGAATAGTTGTTGAAAAACAAAAAATTGTATGGAAAAATGATATGGTTTTATTGAAAATAGTAAGATTGTATGATAAAATAGAGAATAAAAATCATATAGAATAGGATCTTAAGTTGCAGAAATTATCCACAAGCATATATACTCAATAATTATCCATTATTCTTCATAATATTATGCATTGAGTATTTCGTGGCGAGTTCTTTGAAAAATGGCGTATTCCACAATGAAATTTGATGAGAATTGAAGTATTTACACAATCCTTTTATGTCCAAAGAGATAATTCATTGGAATAACGAGTCATCATTGATATTGACACATCATGGAATTTGGAGAACTGTCGGAAGCATATGCAATTACTATATAAACTCATTTGCAGGTAATAGGTATTTTATATTAAGGCATATATGAGTATATATAAATTATTAAGTATATGTAGTGAGCTCAAGTGAGTGTAGAGTGAATGGCAGCAGCAGCAGCAGCAGCATTATTCAGTCAATTAATTGTTCAGGTCCATGACGATGACGACGATGATGTATCTGTAGGGATTTTGAAGAATGATCATTATGTCCTCGCTCATCATCGTCATCAATCTCTAACAGGTTCTCTATCACAATATCTGCTGCGTTTTTCACCACATCTGCCAAGTTCCTGCTACAGATATATAAAATTAATCACCATGACCGACGATTAAAACGATAATAAAAAAAATAAAAAATAATTACCCCTTCCGGGAGTCGAATTCGAGGCCGACGGTATACTTAGCCTCTTCGACGGCACCGGCGAATCGCCGGAGCTCCGCCGACGGCAGGGCGGGGCTGGGCACGACGGCGAGGTCCGACGGCCTGACGTCGCAGAAAATGGGGATGAGTTTCTTCTTGGTCTCGATCATGAGGGCGAGCTCGTGAAGGCAGAAATAGGAGCGGCAGTAGCGGGGGGAGAAGACGGCGACGCCGAGCTTGCAGTCGTTGACGGCGGCGTGGATCTTGTCGAACAGTTTGTCCCCAGGCTTCATGCTCATGTTGTCCAAAAATGGCGTCAGCCTCAGCCTGAAGAGATGCTGGTACAGCAGCGAAGCCACATTCCGCTTCGTGTCCTTACCCCGGTGGTTGATGAAGACGTCGCAGGCCCGACCCGGATTGGGATTCGGGTTCGGAGTCGCCGTTCGGATTATCCGATGGGTATGGAGTATTTGATTCCTGTTTCTCCTCACTGACCTTGTCAATGTAGCCATGGCTGCACTGCAATTAATGCAGATGGCAATGCTGCAATATATATATATATATCTATATATATATATATATAGAGAGAGAGAGAGAGAGAGAGAGAGAGAGAGAGATTAGAGGAGTAGTTAGTCTCGATGGTTGAATTCAGAAAGAAGGAATTAGGGTTGGGTTTTACAACCAGTTTTAACGTTGTTGAAAAGAAGTCAAGGTTAGGGAAGAATCAACTTCAATTCAGCCATTGGGATTCATTCAAATTGGAATGTTTTTCATTAATTAATTATATTGATCTGTCAACATATGTATATATATATATGTTTGAATTTTGATTATCCCATTATCTCCACTAATTATTGATACATGGGAGGATGTGGTAATTCTAATTCCACTTCTTCCTAAAACAGAATTTGAAATTTTTATTTTAAGGCCATTATTTTGCTAGCTTTTGGTTTTGTAAAGTTTTAGTATTACATAGGGAGAAATAATAATGTAAAAAGAAAATAATCACTGATCCAATGTATACGAGATAAACTTACAATTTTAGTATAAAATTGGATCTTTTGTGATTTGAAACTAAAATCTAACATTATTTTATCTTTTACTGTTTTTAATAAAAATATATTAATTTTTAATAAGAAAAAAATATATATTACTATCAAAATACTATTAGTTTAAATCTAACATCCTTCAAATCAATTTCAAATAACAATCTTTTGATTATACTAAAATATAAACTCCTTTGTTAAAAATCCAACCATAGTGTTGATGTAATTTTTCAACAAAAATAAAGTAAAATTCAAAGATATAGAAAATATCCTTAAACTTGATTAATTAGTGCCTGAGATTAGGAATCTCTAAACACTGTATGGTATAGAAAATAAACTGGAAAATAAAAGACTGAAATTTAAAGTGGTGATCCCCAAATCTGACTTTGCTTTGTTGAAGTTGATTGAAGATACCTTGCCAAATGATGATCCAAATCCTTAAATATTCCCTGGGAAACCGTACTGAAAACCGTCACCCGAACGGTTACAACGTCTCCTTCTCAACCGTCTTCCAACCTTTCTTATGCTGACACGTGTCCCCAGCAGACCAAAATTCCCTATATTTCACTCCTTGAGCCGACCACAGACCTTCCGCTCTTTTGGCCCGACTTCGTCCTTCGTCCGACCTACTTCTTCGCCCGACCCCACTTGGGCCGACCTCCATATCAACCGCCCCCTGTCTTTGATCAAAGGCCTCCGTGTTTGTCCGACTCCTCCTTCTATCCGACCTACAGTTTACCCGACCTGCGGATATCCCATCTCAACGACTTTCCGTCTCGAGGACCTCCCGACTTGAAAACCTTCCGACTCATCGTCTTTCCGTCTTGCGGACCTCCCGACCTGAAAACCTTCCGACTTGAGGTCTTTCCGCTTGAGGGCCTCCCGACCTGAAGACCTTCCGACTTGAGGTCTTTCCGTCTTGCGGACCTCTCGACCTGAAGACCTTCCGACTTGAGGTCTTTCCGTCTTGCGGACCTCCCGACCTGAAGACCGTCCGACTTGAGGTCTTTCAGTCTTGCGGATCTCCCGACCTGAAGACCGTCCGACTTGAGGTCTTTCATCTTGAGGGCCTCCCGACCTGAAGACCTTCCGACTTGAGGTCTTTCCGTCTTGCGGACCTCTCGACCTGAAGACCTTCCGTCCTGAATTTTTCTTAGAAATAAATAAATAAATTTATTTTCCTTGATTTCCTCACGGTGTCCTTCAGCCAGTTCAATCAACCCTATTGCCAGGCCCATTCCTCGTTTTACCTTGGGCTTTTAACCTAATTCTAAATTTCGTACGTAACAACTTGCCCGCCGCCAAGGGACTTTCAAACGCCAATAAATGTTTGGAAGTTCATAAAGCACTACCTTCTCGAGAAACTCCCTTAGCAACTACACCAGTTACTGCAACACTCCTGGTTTATTCCTTCTTCGCAATACAAGCCTGTGTGAATCACAATCCCAAAACATTCTAACTATGGCGAATCAATACATTCCTGCCCTTCCTTTCGACGGAACCCTGAGAGTGTAGATACTTTCAATGAATGGTGGTCGGTCGTATGGTCCCTGATATCCCCTGATGAGGGTCGGTTGCTGAACGTACTCCTCCCTCCCCAAGGACTGGTTCTAGGGGCGGCGATACATACTAGCACCCAAAAACAAACAACCGCCCCGGGAATCGGATCTGGGGGTCCCACGCGCAAAAGAAAAACTTCCCAGCTGCAAACACCCCCGACCTCGGAGACCGACCAGCAAACACTAGCAGACCTTGGAATAACTAGGACGTCAGCAAGGACCCGACCCCGAATTGGTAATGTTTCTTAACACCGTGAACCAATTCACTATATCATAACTTTGATTTCACTCATTTCATTCCCCAGAACCGACCTTGGTGACACCGACCAAGCAACCAACGCCAGCACCAACCGACCATTCAATCGGGCCTTTGGTCCAGACCAATTTGCCAATGAGCAGTCGGGCGGAGGACCCGACGCGGAGGCAAACCCCTCCTCCCGTACCGAGGAGTGGTCGGGCCAGGCCCCCGACCAGGAAACAATCTTTACCAACAGTGCCTATAGAACCAGTAAGTTCCTTATCAGCAAGACTTAAGATTCGGATGATCAACCTTAATATATTTAACAACAAACATCTTCATGATTTTTCCATAGACACCTTCACCCATCCCATCAGCAGCAGGGGTCTCTTCTGACAGCGAGGGGACTACTTCCCAGATGGGTCGGCCGTCATACATGGCATCAGACTCATCTATATCAAAGGAAAAACCAGCCGCCCTCGCCGAAGCTGACCCTCAGAACGACATCCCTGATGCTGCTGATCCCGAAATCGAAGGTGCCCCAGAGATCCTGGCTGCAGTGGCTCTAGATGTAGCCGTCCAACCTGCAACCGCCCTACCAGCAGCGGCGCCCCCCCTAGCCATCGAATGGCAGGCAGAAGAACCACCTGTGGCAGCCCAACCTCCAGAAATGGAAGAAATGTCTTCATCCGATTCGGAGACTTCTGTGAATTTGGTAAGATTAAACCAATCCAGGTCATAACTTTTCTTTCGAAAAACACTAACTGTTTCCAATACTACTTTCCATAGGGACCCAGGTCGGCACCTCAGCGACCATTCGCAGCAGCCGACGAGTCGGCTGCTGTTATACCAGCTGTCTGCCCAGCTCGACCGACCTCATTGCTACCCCCCTCACTGACAACAGTCCGCCCAGAGGTACCACATATCTTCTTTGAACAAATTTGCAACCCCCTTGGAATATTTATTGACATTGTAGGACTTGCAGGGGCCTTCGGACTTAGCCGTCCTATCGACTGTTCCGGTTCCAGCGGAGGCCCAGACTGTGTTCACTGAGGCCATTAACCGTCCCCTGTCCGAACTAAGGTCCGACTTATTGGACAAACTCATTCAGACGGTTGGTGGCCTTCTTTTTTACACTCCAACGGAATCACCAGCCGTCCCCATTCTGCATCGGCTGATGGAAAGACTTACAGAGCTCAAGACTGAAGTGGTAGTCATTGGCCTTCTGTCAGCCGAAACCCCCCAGCCCGACTTCGATCAAACAACGCTGGAGAATTCTTTGGCCAAGACTCGAGAATCCCTTCAGCATACTACTGGAAGACTGGGTGGTCTCCTTAGCACGAAAGCTCTGGTTGATGATGCCATTCAGAAAAAGGAGGCAGAATTGCAGGAGCTGAGGAAAGAACAGTCTACCCTGGATAAGCAAATTACCAATGAACAGCATCTGCTTGAGAAGTATACCAAAAATGAGGCTGAATTGGATCAAGAGCTGAAAACCCAAGCCCGATCCCAATTCATCAGAAGATATCAGACGGCTGCCAATACCAGAAGGCTATCCAGGGATGAAAACAAATGGACACAGATAAAAACTGCCCTAGGGGCACTGTTGTAATATTTCCCCCTTTGTAACAACAACTGACTTAGTAATCCATTTTTTCTTTCTTCTCTCAAAACAAGGATCACCTTTCAATTCCCAGCTTTATAGGAAACGAACCAAACTCCTTCTTTAAAAGCACACTGTTTCTCACATTTTAAGAAACATATTCCCAGGCATATTTTAAAAATCAAAACACTGAAAGTGTGAACAAACATGGCGAATGACCGACCTCATGTTCCATCAAGCAACTGGGAGGGTGTTCTTCAACCCTTCTTTGTAGGTAATCACCCTATTGGAGGCCATGCAGAAGACTTGTTATATATACTCAAGCAACTAGACTTCAAATTCCGATTCTCCCAACGAGGTAGAAGAACTATTCATCGCGTCATCCGCCTGATGGAAAAAGTCATTGAGGGGTATGAACCTCTTCGTGACATCCTCAGCCGCATCCCTGATCTCCATCATCACATGGAAATGATTGAAAATCATGCAGCAACCATACTTCCAGACCTTGGTTGGGATAACATATTTTCCAATCAACGAAAAGTCTTTTCAAGATTGCGTACCATTGTTGACCGTGAACATCAAGCCCTAACAGACATGCAAGCACGTACCCACCAAGATCTAGATGACATGCAAAGCCAATGGGAAAGGTCCCGACCAGACTTGGAAGATCTTATTGAAGAAGAACCAGAGCTAATATCCACTCACTGGGATGAAAAGTCTGATTCAGAGACAGAAAATTTCTCACAACTACACGATGACTAACAGAAATGAACCTTCCAGTAGGTTCGAACCCCCATAAATGGGTTCTGAATAATATGTGGTTTCAGGCAGTTTTGTTATCTGAAAAGGCAGGATAATACCTCTTCAGATATTTAGCATTAATACAATCATGTACTCTTCTACCTTCATGATTTACAATAATGAACGCGCCATTTCCAATATCTTTTTGAACAATGTATGGTCCTTCCCAATTCGGTGACCACTTTCCCAATTGATCAGTTTTCTTATATGTAGGAAGAATGGTCTTCCAGACTAGGTCTCCTTTTTGGAATGTCCTGTGAAGAAC